CTGAAAATTTTTCAGAAACCTGAAAAAGCTTTTCTGCTGATGCCAGAGTTTTAACAAGCCCTGGGAGCATTTTTCAATCAATGATTAAAATGGTAGCAATACTCCAATGTCCTGGCCACCTAGGTTGTGAAAATCTGAAGTGTGGTTCAATGCCATTTCCCAGAAATTTTCCATAGGATTAATTTCCAGTTGTTTTCTATACCAGATACCTTGATAAAGCACGCATTATTGACTTCCTCTCCTCTATCTCACACCTTGGCTTCCCTACATGTGTTTCTTCAGGTCACATAGCTTATATGCTACTCAGATTTGAATCCTTATTTCAGGATCTGCTTCTAAGGAAATACAAACCACAATATATGTTTACAATGCAGTTTCACACAGGTTCATGCTAATGACCTATTCCTTTTAAAGCAATGCTTTTCACACACGCCCTTTAAAAGCAATGCTTTTCACACACGTATTACATATGTCTGGTTATTTCTCTAGTTATAACAGGGGCTCATATATTACTTATATACTACTATACTTATGCAAATATGTAAATAATTTATATATAAGATAAAGAATCATATGCTTTATCTTGGATAATTCTGAGAGTTGTCACATTTTAATAAACTATTTAAGATTTATCATGTCCACCATGGAATGTCGAGCAGATTTATTACTCCTTTTGAGTAGCACCACTTTTGGTAAAACAGTTTAGTCCTTCAAAGCTACTGCTGTTTGCATTGTTTACGATTGGGGAAATTATTATTGCTCTAAATGTGGTTTAATTGAATGGGAAATTATGAAGCTTGCTAATATGACTGTTGAAATTTGTTTAGATGAATATTTAATTAAGTTGTTCTTAAAATCATCATTCTCATTTCCAAGTGAAGCACAGTGAAGATCATATAGTTGTAAGTTTTAACTTAATGCTTAAAGTCAACAATTTAAAACAGGTGATGGTAATGTAAATAATAATTTTTATTTAGATAACGATTTAACTTTTTAAATTATCTTCACATCTATTCTGTGAATCAGCATGGTATTGTAATTAAGAGATAGTTTTGGGAGTCAAACAGACAGTGTTCGAGCCATGATTTTAAAGTCATTGGTTTGATATATCCAACAACTCGTATGAATCTCAAGGACATTATATTTAGCATAAAAAGCCAATTTCAAAAGATTACACAGTGTATGACTCCATTTATATAATATTATAGAAATGACAAGGTTAGTAGTTGTCGGGGTAGGGCGGGAATTACAGTGTTGGACATGTCTATAAAGGGTTAGCACAAGATCGTTCCTCTGTGGTGACTGAAGCAGTTCTGTATCTCTGTTGTGACTGTAGTTACATACATCTATACATGGGTTCAAATTGCCTGGAAGCACACACAAACACACAAATATGAAAAATTCTGGAAATGGAATAAAGTTACTGGTCTAGTCAACAGTATTTTACCAATGTCAATTTCCCTGTTTTGATATTTTACTATATCAAATAAATTGGGGAAATGCTTCATAGGACTCTATGTATTATGTTTGCAACTTTCGACAAATCTCTATACATTTTTTAAAAAGTTAAAACATATGACATTTATGAGTCAACTGGAAATTTGAACACTAAATGGATATTTGATATGTGTTGATATTATAAAATTATTGTTAATATTTAGATATGATAATAGTACCATGGTTATGATTTTTATCTTTTAGAAACCAGTAGGAAAATTTTGCAAATAATACAACGTCTGGGATTTTCTTCAAAACAATATAGAAGGTGTGGAAGGGGTAGTCATATAGGTGAAGCAAGATTGGCCATGATTTGATAAGTGTTCATACTGAATGATAAATGCATTGAGATTAATTTCTCTCTATTTCTTTTTCTTTTATGTATATATTTGAATTTTCCATAACAAAAATGGAATCAACAAAATAGTGATTTCTTAAACACATTTCAATCTCAATTTTCCCCACATAAACTATATCAAATTGAATCACTTCAGACTAACAGAAATGGCATATTCTCTGTTGATCCCATGTACCAATGCATTCTCTCACACAGAACTTACAGTTATTCTGCCAGTAATTTAATTGTTAAATTAACACAGGGTTTTTGTGTTTTCTGTTGATCTTTTGCCTAGATGATCTGTACAATGTTGAGAGTGGAGTATTCAGGTCCCCTACTATTAGGGTATTAGTGTCTCTCTCTTTCTTTAGGTCTAATAGGGTTGGTTTTATATATCTGGCTGGTCCAATGTTGGGTGCATATATATTTGTGATTGTTATGTCTTCTTGTCTTATAGGTATTTTTATCATTATATACTGTTCATCTTTATCTTTTATTATGGTTTTTGGTTTGAAGTCTATTTTATCTGATATAAGAAGAGCTATTCCAGCTCATTTTTCATTTATATTTGCATTCCATATCTTTTTCCATCCTTTTGCTCTTAGCCTATGTGTGTCTTTGCAAGTGAGTTATGGTAGTGATGGTTGTTTTTCAGGTACCAGACCCTGTACTCCTTTGAGAATTTCCTGTAAAGCTAGTCACATAGTAGTGAACTCATAAAGTTTTTGTTTGTCTAGGTAATATACTATTTTCCTTCATTTTGGAAGGATAGCCTTGCTAAGAAAAGTATTGTTGTCTGACAATTTTTCACTTTTAGTAATTTGAGTATATCAACCCATTCTCTTCTGCTTTTTAGGGTTTCTGATGAAAAGTGTGTTACTAATCTGATAGGAGATCCTGAACAGTTGACTTGACACTTCTCTCTTGCAGATTTTAAGGTGGTCTCTTAATTTTGTGTTTCCAATTTGATTATAACAAGTCTGGGATAGGACCTTTTTGGATTGAATATGTTTGGGGATCTTTGATCCTCCTGAATCTGAACATCTGTATTTCTCCCTATATCTGGCAAATTTGCTGCTATTACTTCATTGAATATGTTTTCTTTTCCATTTCCTTTTCACTCCCCTCTGGAATACGGATAACTGACCACTTAAGGTTATCTCTTATCTCTCTTATATTGTGTTCAGTTTTTTAAATTCTTTTTTCTTTTTTTTTCTGCTGTGTTATTTTGTTTGATTTTTAATTTTATTTAAATTTATTTGTCCCTTTACCAATTCCTTTTTTCCCCTTCCCTCTCCTCCTCCTCCTCCCCCCCATCAACATGATGTTCACTTTTCTTAACAAGTTCAAGGAATTGTTGTGATTGTTGTGTCTTCTTCCCCCCCAACCCATTTACACCTGTGTTGTTTTGAACAGGCTATCTTCAAGGTCAGAAATTCTCTCCTTTGCTTGTTCTAGCCTGCTGCTTAAGTTTCTTTGTGTTTTTTATTTTGTTGAGTGAATCCTTCAGCTCCACAAGCTCTGCTACATTCTTTTTAGGGTGTTGATTTCTTTGTACATTTCCTCTTTCAGGTCCTGTATATTTTTTCTCATTTAATTGTGTTGTTTAACTGAGTCTTCTTGTAACTCATATAGTTTCCTTAGAATTGTTGCTTGAAATTCCTTTTCAGTCATTTCAAGGACTTCCTGTTCTATAGGATCTAGAACTTGAGAGTTATTATATACCTTTGGTAGTGGTGTACTTCCTTGGTTTTTCATATTTTAGTATCTCCCCATTGATGTTTAGTCATTGTGGCAGAGGATTTCATGATCCACCTGTTTCATCCTGGTGTCTGCAGCAGTGGCAGGGAGTATTGCTGACACTTGCCTGCCTGTTGCTGCCTTGGAGCCTGAGGTTTAGTGGGATCTCACCCGGCCTGGATCCCATGGAGGGTGCCAGGTTGACGCTGCTGCCTCATGGCTATAAATATGTCTTAAAGTTGGTCTGTGTTGGCTGTTTATTATTATGTTTTACCTCACTGATAGGCCCCAAGCAACACAGTCTCCTTTATTTTGATTAATAACTCATTCTCAATGGTCCAGTGCATATCAGAATGAACTTTTCCCTAGATAATTGCAAGGTATACCTGTATTGTTTGAAGCCTGAAATATATGAGCATTTGAACTACCTACACATACATGCTGGCATTTTAAAAATTAATTACTTATGAAATAGCACATAATATTCAAAACAACAGATATGAGAAATGGTGAATCCTTCTGTCTTATTTGCTAATTTTCTCACTAATGTTTCAAATCAACCTCTACACGAAAAATTGAGGTTTAATAACAACATTGGTATTTGAAATGCATACACAATAGAATATTATTCAGCCTTAATAAAGAAGAAAATTCTGTCATTTGTGATAGCATGGATGAACCTGGAGAATACTACGTTAAGTGAAATAAGCCAGGCACAGAAAGACAAATACCCTATGATCTCATTTAAATGTCAAATCCCAAAAAGGCAAACTCATAAAAGCAGAAATTAGCATAGTGATTACAAAAGTCTAAGAGGGCAAAGAGGATTGGGGGATGTTGGTCAAAGAGTACTAAATTTCATTTAGTTGGGAAGAATATATTCAAGAGTTCTATTGTATAACATGGTCACTGTAGTTAATAACAATCTAAGAAAACATTTTGAGCATTCCAACCACAAAAAAATGATAATTATGTGAGGTAATGCGTATATTAACTGGTTCAAGTTAGACATTCTACAATGTATACATATTTCAAAGCACCATGTTGTATACCATAAATATCTACAATTTTTAGTTGATAATTAAAATAATAAAGGACTCATAAGCAACATCTACATGAGAAATTGAGTTTTAATAGCAACACTGGTATTTGAAATATTATCATTGAAATAATGTTTTAGTTTTCCTGCAAATGTACTCCTGCACTTTGAAAGTGAACCAATCCCAATATCTGCAACCAAAGTCCATTGTAAAAGAGACATATAACTCAGAAATGAGGTATGACATATTCAAAGAATAGACTGTCAGCATTTTAAAAGACAAGAAAATATAGGCCTATTATAATTAATCCATTATTCCTCAGAAATATTCCAAGAGATGAAATAATACAGAAAATATTTAGTTTACTTGAAACAAAAAATGTGTTTTTATTTTTTCTTTCTCATCAAAGGAGCACCCTTAATTGTAGAAGACACCCTTGTTCTTATGAGTTTTGCATTTTCACAGATGAAATTGCGCCGACGAATTGGCACGCTGTCATATTTCTTGTTACTAGCATCAATTTTTGCTTTTACAGCCTTCAATGGCGTGGTTGCTAGAGGTAATCCATTGATATCATACGACCAGTACATATGCTCCGTCTAGAAACAAAGAGAGGGAGAGATATTATATGAAATATCCATAAAATTTTTAAAATATAGGCAAAGTTTATGATAACACCTTCTCTTCTCCATGTAGGGTATGGGAAAGGTACAAAACTGAAACCACCTATAATGACAAACAATTAATATGGAACATAAGGAAAACATTTGGCTTTATGAATTAAGAACCATTCACTAAAAAATCTCTTCTCATTAGATGTCTTCCCTGTAGGTGAACTAAGCATCTGTCTAATATAGGGAAAAGCAATCTTTCTGGTTTGCTTGAGACTGTTGTTCACCATGAACTATAACTAGCAGAAACAATACCTTTCGAGATGCATGACAATACGTTTCCTATGCATGAGAATTTGTCTAGCCACAGAAATGACTTCTAAAATATGTTGAGCTACTTTTTAGATTATGAAAGTATATAACATAACCATTGAATATACCAAGAGTGGTATAAGATCACTAATGTCAATCATAGTCTAAATCCAAGTGAATACAATTTATATAGAGATTTATTAAAAACCCCTTCATTTCTTCTGCATATATGTACAGGAAGGCCATATCGAATTCGGCAGTCTAACATTTTCTTCATCTTTATGTTCATACTAAGTACCACTGCTCCTGCAGCATTTCCTGAAGCCACCTGTGTTTACAGGCCTTCTTCCTCACACTAAAATTTGTGTCACATATGCTCAAAAACCTCATTCAGAATAAGTCCAAGAATATTGTAGTACACTATGCTTGACATGTAGTGTGATACCTATCAATGAATATCAAGTGCAGGAATTTCTTGCACATCAGGCATGGATTTATTTTAACCATATCTGGCCTTTATTATAGTTCTATAGCAATTATGTATTCAGAATCAATGAGTTAAAAGCAGACCAAACCAAGAAGCATAGTACAACTGGGTTAAATAAAGTTTTACTTCACATAAGGATGTTCGATTTGAAAGACAAAGCTACATTTTGGTGATTGTGCATATGTCACTGTGAATTTTCCCAGTACAAGTGGGCCACATCATGGGTACCAGTGAGTGAGCTAAATGAAGAGAGTTGCACCATGCCTGGCACTTGGTACTAATACGTGAGGTACATGAAGAGACCTGCACCCATGCCCAGCACTTAGTGCGTACACATGAGTCAGCTACATGATAGGATCTGCACCCCCACCCAGCACCTAATGGGTACAAATGAGAGCTATAAGTGGGGACTTATAAGTTCACCTTGCACTTGTATACAAGACCTTTTGAAAATAATTACACTTAAAAGACATTATTTTTAAATTTCCTATTGTATTGCATGCATTGCAATAAAGATTCAAATAATGTTACCATCAATAAGTGATGCTATCTATTTTGAAAGTTGTTCATGCCCTTATTTCCAACATGTTGTATACTAACAAGAATAATAGGCACATTTTATAAAATAAAGATTAAGCATTATTCTTTTACCTATAGCTCAATTTCTTCAATTCAACTGGAATAAAAACAGTTACCCATTTATGTTTAAAACACATTTTATAGATATAGCTGTGTATCTTCTACCCCAATTTCCCTTTGAAAATATAGATAAAAAGCAGAATATGAAAATATGGAAATTATGAAGCTTGCTAATATGACTGCTGAAATTTGTTTGTTTAGATTAATATTTAATTGTTATTCTTAAAAATTATCATTTTTATTTCCAAATTAAGCACAGTGAAGATCATATAGTTGTAAATTTTAACTTAATGCCTAAAGTCAACAATTTTAAAAAATTATGACAATGTAACTAATAATTTTTATTTAGATAATGATTTAACCTTTTAAATTATCTTAGCATCTATTATGTGAATCAGCATAGTATTGTCATTAAGAGACAGTTTTGGGAGTCAAACAGACAGTATTTGAGCCATGATTTTAAAGTCATTGGTTTGATTCATGCAATAATTCTTATGAATTTCAAGGGCATTATACTTAGCATAAAAAGCCAATTTCAAAAGATTACACGGTATATGACTCCATTTATATAATATTATAGAAATGACAAGGTTAGTAGTTGTTGGGGTAGGGCGGGAATTACAGTGTTGGACATGTCTATAAAGGGTTAGCACAAGATCGTTCTTCTCTGGTGACTGAAGCAGTTCTGTATCTCTGTTGTGACTGTAGTTACATACATCTACACATGGGTTCAAATTGCCTGGAAGCACACACAAACACACAACTATGAAAAATTCTGGAAATGGAATAAGGTCACTAGTCTAGTCAACAGTATTTTACCAATGTCAATTTCCCTGTTTTGATATTTTACTATATCAGATAAATTGGGGAAAGGCTTCATAGGACTCTATGTATTATGTTTGCAACTTTTGACAAATCTCTATACATTTTTTAAAAAGTTAAAACATATGGGCCGGCCCGGTGGCGCACTGGAGAGTGCGCCGCTTGGGAGCGTGGAGGCGCTCCCACCAAGGGTTCGGATCCCATGTGGAGACCGGTTCCCGCTCACTGTTTGAGCGCGGTGCGGGCGCAACACCGAGGATTGTGATCCCGTTACCGGTCAGTAAAAAAGACAAAAAAGGAAAAAAAAAAAAAAAGTTAAAACATATAAACGGATATTTGATATGTGTTGATATTATAAAATTATTGTTAATATTTAGATATGATAATAGTACCATGGTTATGATTTTTTATCTTTTAGAAACCAGTAGGAAACATTTGCACATAATACAATGTCTGGGATTTTCTTCAAAACAATATGGAAGGTGGGGAAGGGATAGTCATATAGGTGAAGCAAGATTGGCCATGATTTGATAAGTGTTCATACTGAATGATAAATGCATCGAGATTAATTTCTTTCTATTTCTCTTTCTATTTACACATATATTTAAAATTTCCATAACAAAAGTGGAGTCAATAAAATAGTGATTTATTAAACACATTCCAATTCAATTTTCCCCACATAAACTATATCAAATTGTCTCACTTCAGACGAACAGAAATGGCATATTCTCACTTGATCCCATGTACCAACTTATTCTCTCCCAAAAAACTTTCAGTTATTCTGCCAGTAATTTAATTGTTAAATCAACACAGGGAATCCATGTACAGATTTTGTTGGCAAAGCCTTCTATATAGTTAATTACAGAAAATTCCACTGTACACTAGGTAAAATAAACATCATTTAAATTTATAAATTGTTTTAAAGATGTCATTTAATCCCGTTAGAGTAAACAAGCAAGTACAACAACACGATCACTTTAAATCAGATATCACGGCAGGCAATGGGGTATGTGAAGTGAGGTGACAGAAGCTTCATCTTCTTATTACCTAGGTTGTAAGGACTCGTAGAAAGAAAAAATAGAAATAACTCTCTCAAACAACATTCAACATTTTATATTCTCTATTCATTAAAACAATAACAACAAGTTTTTCTGCTTATGGCACTACCTAATTATTGTTTGATTTAGAAGTCTAGAAATCACTTTGGCATCAGGAGTTGTATGCTATAATAAGACAACATGTTCTTTGTGCTTGTGCTACTGAAAGTAGACTGTGGTAAAAAGTATCTTTAGAAATAATTTGAAAGTTGTCTTTAGCCTAAAAGTTCTTACTATAAAATATGTGTGAAATTTCATAGAAAAATTTTGCTTCCTGGATAAATTTTCAAAATTGTATTTACCTTAACTGCTAATAAAATGATCAATTAAACATACTTCTTTTAATGGCCCAATTTACCATTAAAAGTTTTTTCAATTAAAAATAAATTTTATCTTTCATCTCATTTTCCTTATTTTAAACTTCAATATTTCGACAATATTGTATGCCTTAATCTAAAGTTTCAAAATCTCTATCTCAACCCAAAGTTAGCAAAGTCCTTAAATAAGTAGGTACATTACAGAAAATAATATGCAACTATACAAATTACATTACACTCATTATTTATCTCTTCTACATTTCCTTAATGTGGAAGGGAAGTAATTCATTACTTTCTTCTGGTGTTGACAACTTTTTTGTTACATCCCATACTTAAAATTCTGTTATTGGACAAATGAACAGTAAAACAAGACAGTGAAGTTGATTTTTCCAAAGCAATATTGTTATTGTTTTTCTGTGACCATTGGGTGAAACCTTTTCTCCCTAGTTCATTTAATATTTTTAGTGACAGCAAACATGTTTGAACATTGCCTTTATAGAACTCACCTGTATTACTAACGTTCCTTTGTATATTCTACTGTACATTTGGGGTTTGAATCCTACAATGATGAGAGTTCCGTCAGTGTCAAAAGGAAGAAGTTCTCCAACCTGAGGTCTTACAAAAAACTCTGGATCACTGCCAGGCAGGAAGTATGCGGTGAATGGCTCAGAATTTCTGGAACAAAAATGTAAATATCAACCTATTGAATTTGATCATTACCTTATTTTCTGTGAGAACGTGATGAATATAGTTCGAATTCTGTTGCAATTAGCCTATACTTAATCATTAATTCTGAATGCTTGCAGAATAATAGTAAGGAGGTATTTTAAAAATTTGTAAAATGTGTGATTCTTCTCAGAGTGACAAAATGGAATCCTAAATATTTTTTTCAATCACATCTTATATTTATAGTGTACAAAGACAACAAATGTTCTTCCTATAAAAAATAGAATAATTCTACATCCCAAAGGGAAATTCTTCCTTTTGTAAATAAATTCATATGTGAAATGACTGACAACTAAAGGTATCATAAAGTTTTTTGTTTCTACTAGTATTCCACTGTATTTTCTTACATTTCTTTAGCTTTCTTCTTGTTAAGTGAGATGAAAGCACTTCACAGTCTCGTTGAAGATTGATGTTCCTGAAGATGAGTTGCTGTTATCTGAAGTGAGTTGAGTGACATTTAAGATTTAAGTGATTATCTCCATGTCAAGATTGACTACACTTGAGATGAAGTCCATAACAGAAGTTGAGGAATCTCTTGGGAGAACAAAGCAGGGGAGAGGCACACTGCATGGAAGGTCGTAACTGAGAAATTTAAAATCCAAATTGACAGGGAAGATGCAAGTGAAAGGTTAAGTGCCTCCAAAACCAAATTCAATAGTGAAACATACAAGAGGACAAAGAAAAGATTCAGGTTGTAACTCATTGATCGATTCAGCAAATATGTGTTGAACATTATGACAGAAGGTTTGAGAACATGGACTGTGGATAAGGATGGTCTTGACTGGAATCATAGCTCCATCCAGGTGCATGACTTCAGGCAATTTACTTAACCTTTCTGTACCTCAGTTTTGTCATCTGTTAAATTACCTTGATAACCCATGTAAAGCTAGTAAATAAGTGCCTGACACATGGAAAGTTCTCCATAATAATTAGTCAATATTACTTTAGTAATCATTATCATCATTGTTATTTTAAAATTCTTTATTATTAGACCTAGGCAATGAAAATTGATCCAATAAAAGATCGATGAATAAGACAGAGTGCCTGTGGGAATTATGTCAGCAAGATGGCAGAACAGGAACTTCCAGATCCTTCTTCCCCCTATGAAGACATTGATTCAACAAAATATGCAGAATAATTCCTTTTGTGATAAGTACAGAAACCAATTAAAAGGCTTCTATACCACAGCTCAGCACAAGACAAGCCATACTGAAGCCAGGAGAAAAATTCTTGGCACTCTCTTGACATAGTCCCTCCCCCATCCATGGTGCCACATGACTGAAACAAAATTCCCAGTCTGAGTTCTCCTTGAATAGGGAAAGAGAAGAATTGACCAGACATCCAATTCTAACTTTACAAGGAGTGGGGCTGCCCAAAGAACTGGGTTCTGACTTGTCTGCCTCAGAGAGCTGATGGGACTTGGCATGTTCTAGATTCCTAGAGGGCACTGAGAATAATAAAAAAAACAAAGGCTGATTGGTGTGTTGTTGCTTCAGAGGACTCATGGTATAGCAGACAGACACCAGAAAGACCAAAGATTACAACATCATAGAAAAAGAAACTGACAAATCCCTCTAAATAGGAATCTGCAAAAACAAGTCCAGAAAAAACACACCCACAGAGAAGTTTTGAGAGGCCTCCAGAACCTCTAGCCAGGCTGATTAATGAAGATCTTTCTCTGTCTGAGCAAAGCCTATCTGTAAAAACTGAGAGAGGCATCTTTTTTTCTTCTTTTTTAAAAATGTGCTCATACCAACACAGTTACAAGGAACATAAACAAGCAGGAAAAAAATCACCCAATCAGAGAAACAAAATGAATTTCGAGCATCTGACACTAAAGAAATGGAAGTATATGAACTACTCAACAAGTAATTCAAAATAATTAAGGTAAAGATATTCAATGAGCTCAAGAAAATGATGTATAAACAAAATTAGAATCTCAATAAAAAACCAGAAAATATAAAAATAACCAGACAGAAATTTTGGAGATGGACAATTCAATAACTGAACTGAAAATTTTACTGGAAGGATTGAACAGCAGATGTGTTTAAACAGGAGCAAAGTAAACAAACAAACAAACAAACAAACAAATATTTTTTTAAAAACGAATTAAAAAGTGAAGAAAGTCTACAGGATCCATGTGACAGTATCAAGCTAAGAATACACAGCAACATAATGGAGCAAAAATGGAGAATAACTTCACAGAAAGGACTTCTGGGGAGGAAGATTGACATACATGAGAGGTCTAAAGATGGCTAGGGACAAAGAAGAAGGGTAAGGGATTATATTACACGTGCATTGGGTACTACTGTCCTCCCCAGAGGCATTTGCTGCTGAGAATCTTTACAGCCCCTGTGGCAGCTGTAACTCCCCTGGGGCTTTCACAGTGAAGGTCCCCTTAGCATTTGTCAGTGCCAACTCCAGTGACCTGCTTTGCAGAGGACACTGGCAGTTTTGCCACTGTGTTAACTAGCATCCATTGCCACCAAAGATCCCCTGGAGAGGTAGATGCTGCAGCACCCAACTTCCCAAGAAGGAACCACTGTAGTAAAGCTCTGGGACAGGGGTCACCTCCATGCCAACCCTGTGCTCACCCTCTACCCCAGAGCTGCTGTTGCTTATGCATGCCCATGCTCCAGACTCCAACTCTGCTGCCAGTCTGGAAGTACTTGTATCACTGACGCTGAAGCCATTGCTGAAGCAATGTATGTCTGAACTCTAGACCCTGGAGCAGCTGACACTCTGTGCGTGACTGTGACCCAGATCCTGGGTCCATGGCACCTTCATGAACACCTGCACATAGGATACTAGAGCCACTGCTGCAATGTGAACACTCATGCTCCAGACCCCAGAGGCACTGTAGCTCCCTGCAACTGCTCTACAAGCAGCTGTGCCTTGCATACTTTTACCAATGCTAGCACAGGGGCACCTGTGCCCCAGACTTGTTGACACTGCTGCTCCAGACTTTGAGCCATGGTCCTTCCATGTATTGCCATGCCTGAGACCCATCTCTTAAGACAGTCCACAGGCACTATGCATCAGACAGTGGTACCACCACCACTGCAAGTTCACCCATGAGCCAGACTCAGTGCCAAGAGAGACACCTTCATCTACAGCTTTCCTGGTGTGTGAAGAAAAAAGTAAGGGAGAGACACTCTGATGGCATGACTTTCAATGCTGGCATGTGGGAGAGTTGGACAATGAATGATGTGGAGTGGCTTTAGTGAGGCAATACCTGCTCAAATACCAGGAATGGTGGTCTGTGGATTCCTGAGGAAGGCAGGAGGTTTGGTATCACTTCCATGAAGCTTTAAATGTCAATAGCACACAATTAACACTCCCCCATGCATTTTCAAATACCCCAAGGGGGTGTTATTGCCCCTGGTTGAGAACCACTGGATCTGATTTTAAAGCCCATTTTTCCAATCTTTGTTGGCACAAACTCAACTATGTGACCTATTTGAACTCGTAAAACTCTATACACATCTACACCAAGATTATGTTACATATTCCCAACAGTCACTCTCTTTTTAATGGAGGTTGATGTGGCTTTCAGAAGGTTCTCTTTTTTTCATCGAGTTGTTTGCAAGAGTTCTGTTTTATTGATTTATATTTTTATCCATGGATTCCTTTGTTCAAGCAAGTTACTTAGAAGTGTAAACAAAGAAACCAGATGAAAGCAGAGCCTCTCTGTTTCAATGCTAAGGGTGTATGTGTGTGCTGCTGGGGAGGGACTTGGAGGTGGGGATAGTGAAGTACGCTGTACAGATGACAACCTCAATACAAAAGGATAGAGCTCTGATAAGAGACTTCCACACCCCAATGATGACAGATATTTACAGAAATGATTTCTTCCTGTATTTGACATTCCTTAAATTATACAGGAAGATACTTATTCTGCCTACAACTGCCAAAGCTAATGCTGATATAACTCTCTAAAGATACAGGAGGGCTAGCTGGTTAGTTTAGTTGGTTAGAGTGTGGTGCTGATAACACCAAGGTCCAGGGATCGATCCCTGTACCGGCCAGCCACTAATCAATCAATCAATCAATCGAGGTACAGGAATGTTTAGTAGATTTTTCAGGGCTGTTGCTATTCAAAATTTATCTGTGCAAGTCTGCCATGTTTGTTAGCATACCGCAGTTCAGAGTGGCCTAAATCTGAGGTTCATAGGACTCTAAACTGGGATACGGATGTGAACGGGAGTTTCTCTGTTGGGATAGGATCTGAAGGAGGGGAGACGGAAGCTGGGGCATCTTACCTAAATAGACACCATGCCCACTAATCACTGCCAAGTCTCATAACTCACTTCACGCTTCCCCGTGATTGCATAAACACATGCGCATGTGTATGTGTGTGTGTGTGTGTTTACATAAATTGAAGACACTGATATCTACTTTGTAGTATAATAAAAATTAATAATTCTATATATGTTAAATGCTTAATAGGCTTGCAACAAACATTTACTATTGTTATTATTATGTTGTTTTTAGGTATGGCGGACAAAGGAACAAGGAACTGTGGTGATCATGAATAATTACATAAGTGGGCTCATATTGTCCCACAATTGACAGAGCTCTGATCCTTACTGAAAAAAAATATTTTCAGTCTTTTTTCTTGAAAACAACATCACTAAACATAACAGATAACTATATCTGGGGAAATATCCCTTTCCATATGTTTGTGACAACAATTTGGCAGCTGTCCTCTAAGGTATTCTGAAAATTAAAATAGTTGCTCAGATAAATACTGATTAGCCCTAGAGAAATTATGCTAATGCATAGAGGAGAGATATAAGATCTTTGAAAGGGAAGAATCGCCTTTACATTTTAGAGCTTTTCTAGAGATTTTAATACTTTTAATTCTCCATCTGGAGCATTTGAAAGCTATTTATTTCAGTCAGTGAAAAGTCCTTGAGAAAACCACTGACAATTTCTTCACTTTTTCT